TCACAACACACACACAGGTGAGCCACTCTACATGTTACCATCACAACACACAGGTGAGCCACTCTACATGTTACCATCACAACACACACACAGGTGAGCCACTCTACATGTTACCATCACAACACACAGGTGAGCCACTCTACATGTTACCATCACAACACACAGGTGAGCCACTCTACATGTTACCATCACAACACACAGGTGAGCCACTCTACATGTTACCATCACAACACACAGGTGAGCCACTCTACATGTTACCATCACAACACACAGGTGAGCCACTCTACATGTTACCATCACAACACACAGGTGAGCCACTCTACATGTTACCATCACAACACACAGGTGAGCCACTCTACATGTTACCATCACAACACACAGGTGAGCCACTCTACATGTTACCATCACAACACACGGGTGAGCCACTCTACATGTTACCATCACAACACACAGGTGAGCCACTCTACATGTTACCATCACAACACACAGGTGAGCCACTCTACATGTTACCATCACAACACACAGGTGAGCCACTCTACATGTTACCATCACAACACACAGGTGAGCCACTCTACATGTTACCATCACAACACACAGGTGAGCCACTCTACATGTTACCATCACAACACACAGGTGAGCCACTCTACATGTTACCATCACAACACACAGGTGAGCCACTCTACATGTTACCATCACAACACACAGGTGAGCCACTCTACATGTTACCATCACAACACACAGGTGAGCCACTCTACATGTTACCATCACAACACACAGGTGAGCCACTCTACATGTTACCATCACAACACACAGGTGAGCCACTCCACATGTTACCATCACAACACACAGGTGAGCCACTCTACATGTTACCATCACAACACACAGGTGAGCCACTCTACATGTTACCATCACAACACACAGGTGAGCCACTCTACATGTTACCATCACAACACACAGGTGAGCCACTCTACATGTTACCATCACAACACACAGGTGAGCCACTCTACATGTTACCATCACAACACACAGGTGAGCCACTCTACATGTTACCATCACAACACACAGGTGAGCCACTCTACATGTTACCATCACAACACACAGGTGAGCCACTCTACATGTTACCATCACAACACACAGGTGAGCCACTCTACATGTTACCATCACAACACACAGGTGAGCCACTCTACATGTTACCATCACAACACACAGGTGAGCCACTCTACATGTTACCATCACAACACACAGGTGAGCCACTCTACATGTTACCATCACAACACACAGGTGAGCCACTCTACATGTTACCATCACAACACACAGGTGAGCCACTCTACATGTTACCATCACAACACACAGGTGAGCCACTCTACATGTTACCATCACAACACACAGGTGAGCCACTCTACATGTTACCATCACAACACACAGGTGAGCCACTCTACATGTTACCATCACAACACACAGGTGAGCCACTCTACATGTTACCATCACAACACACAGGTGAGCCACTCTACATGTTACCATCACAACACACAGGTGAGCCACTCTACATGTTACCATCACAACACACAGGTGAGCCACTCTACATGTTACCATCACAACACACAGGTGAGCCACTCTACATGTTACCATCACAACACACAGGTGAGCCACTCTACATGTTACCATCACAACACACAGGTGAGCCACTCTACATGTTACCATCACAACACACACAGTTACCATCACAACACACAGTGAGCCACTCTACATGTTACCATCACAACACACAGGTGAGCCACTCTACATGTTACCATCACAACACACAGGTGAGCCACTCTACATGTTACCATCACAACACACAGGTGAGCCACTCTACATGTTACCATCACAACACACACAGGTGAGCCACTCTACATGTTACCATCACAACACACAGGTGAGCCACTCTACATGTTACCATCACAACACACACACACAGGTGAGCCACTCTACATGTTACCATCACAACACACACACACCCTACATGGTGAGCCACTCTACATGTTACCATCACAACACACAGGTGAGCCACTCTACATGTTACCATCACAACACACAGGTGAGCCACTCTACATGTTACCATCACAACACACAGGTGAGCCACTCTACATGTTACCATCACAACACACAGGTGAGCCACTCTACATGTTACCATCACAACACACAGGTGAGCCACTCTACATGATACCATCACAACACACAGGTGAGCCTCTCTACATGTTACCATCACAACACAGGTGAGCCACTCTACATGTTACCATCACAACACACACACACACACACACACAGGTGAGCCACTCTAAATGTTACCATCACAACACACAGGTGAGCCACTCTACATGTTACCATCACAACACACAGGTGAGCCACTCTACATGTTACCATCACAACACACAGGTGAGCCACTCTACATGTTACCATCACAACACACAGGTGAGCCACACACACAACACATGTGAGCCACTCTACATGTTACCATCACAACACACAGGTGAGCCACTACTACATGTTACCATCACAACACACAGGGTGAGCCACCCTACATGTTACCATCACAACACACAGGTGAGCCACTCTACATGTTACCATCACAACACACAGGTGAGCCACTCTACATGTTACCATCACAACACACAGGTGAGCCACTCTACATGTTACCATGAGCCACTCTACATGTTACCATCACAACACACAGGTGAGCCACTCTACATGTTACCATCACAACACACACACAGGTGAGCCACCCTACATGTTACCATCACAACACACAGGTGAGCCACTCTACATGTTACTATCACAACACACAGGTGAGCCACCCTACATGTTACCATCACAACACACAGGTGAGCCACTTACATGTTACCATCACAACACACAGGTGAGCCACTCTACATGTTACCATCACAACACACAGGTGAGCCACCCTACATGTTACCATCACAACACACAGGTGAGCCACTCTACATGTTACTATCACAACACACACACAGGTGAGCCACCCTACATGTTACCATCAAAACACACAGGTGAGTCACTCTACATGTTACCATCACAACACACACACAGGTGAGCCACCCTACATGTTTCCATCACAACACACAGGTGAGCCACCCTACATGTTACCATCACAACACACGGGTGAGCCACTCTACATGTTACCATCACAACACACAGGTGAGCCACCCTACATGTTACCATCACAACACACAGGTGAGCACAACATCACAACACACAGGTGAGCCACCCTACATGTTACCATCACAACACACAGGTGAGCCACCCTACATGTTACCATCACAACACACGGGTGAGCCACTCATGTTACCATCACAACACACAGGTGAGCCACCCTACATGTTACCATCACAACACACACACAGGTGAGCCACTCTACATGTTACCATCACAACACACAACACACAGGTGAGCCACCCTACATGTTACCATCACAACACACGGGTGAGCCACTCTACATGTTACCATCACAACACACACACACAGGTGAGCCACCCTACATGTTACCATCACAACACACAGGTGAGCCACCCTACATGTTACCATCACAACACACGGGTGAGCCACCCTACATGTTATCATCACAACACACGCACACAGGTGAGCCACCCTACATGTTACCATCACAACACACAGGTGAGCCACTCTACATGTTATCACAACACACGCACACAGTTGAGCCACCCTACATGTTACCATCACAACACACGGGTGAGCCACTCCACATGTTATCATCACAACACACGCACACAGGTGAGCCACCCTACATGTTACCATCACAACACACGGGTGAGCCACCCTACATGTTATCATCACAACACACGTACACAGTTGAGCCACCCTACATGTTACCATCACAACACACGGGTGAGCCACTCCACATGTTACCATCACAACACACACACAGGTGAGCCACCCTACATGTTACCATCACAACACACAGGTGAGCCACCCTACAAGTTACCATCACAACACACACACAGGTGAGCCACTCTACATGTTACCATCACAACACACAACACACAGGTGAGCCACTCCACATGTTACCATCACAACACACACACAGGTGAGCCACCCTACATGTTACCATCACAACACACAGGTGAGCCACTCTACATTTTACTATCACAACACACAGGTGAGCCACTCTACATGTTACCATCACAACACACAGGTGAGCCACCCTACATGTTACCATCACAACACACAGGTGAGCCACTCTACATTTTACTATCACAACACACAGGTGAGCCACCCTACATGTTACCATCACAACACACAGGTGAGCCACTCTACATGTTACCATCACAACACACAGGTGAGCCACTCTACATTTTACCATCACAACACACAGGTGAGCCACTCTACATGTTACCATCACAACACACAGGTGAGCCACTCTATATGTTACTATCACAACACACAGGTGAGCCACTCTACATGTTACTATCACAACACACAGGTGAGCCACTCTACATGTTACCATCACAACACACACACAGGTGAGCCACTCTACATGTTACTATCACAACACACAGGTGAGCCACCCTACAAGTTACCATCACAACACAGGTGAGCCACTCTACATGTTACCATCACAACACAGGTGAGCCACTCTACATGTTACCATCACAACACACAGGTGAGCCACTCTACATGTTACCATCACAACACACAGGTGAGCCACTCTACATGTTACCATCACAACACACAGGTGAGCCACTCTACATGTTACCATCACAACACACAGGTGAGCCACTCTACATGTTACCATCACAACACACAGGTGAGCCACCCTACATGTTACCATCACAACACACAGGTGAGCCACTCTACATGTTACCATCACAACACACAGGTGAGCCACCCTACATGTTACCATCACAACACACACACAGGTGACACTGGAGGCGTCATGTGCGTTAAGCAAGAAAGTGACTTAGACATAGCAGTAATGATGTACTTACTCGTCCTTATCGAAGGCCTTGAAGCAGGCGTCCATGTCTGCCCAGGAGGGTAAGTCTTGGTCTCCTGCCTCACACACCGTCTCTTGAGTTTGGCGCTCCGTGGTGGGTGGGTGGTTGGGCTGGAGGAGGAGGGTGGGCGTGGTGGGCGTGGGTGGGTGGGCTGGGTGTGTGGTCAGAGGAGGGCGTGGAGGCGTGGCGTCATGGTGTGACAGGAGGCCTGGTGCTACTGGCGTCCCCCGTTGCCTAGAGACCTGCTCCGCCATGCTCAGCCCCGCGCACGCGCCCTCCTCCACACCAATATTTCCTCTGTTTACAAAATACTTGCATTAGAATTTATATATTTTTTGTATATGTTTCGTGTGGATGTTTTGTGAAATGTTAGATGTGAACTAGAGGAGGAGCGGCACAGCAGGTGGCTCAGGATATATCAATATTTACCCCTTACAGGAAAATAATTTTCTGCAGTGCATGTCAACAAATTTCCTCCACTTTCATGTTTACATTGATTTGAAAGCTAGTAAAGTTTTATCCCCATAGTACGGTATAGCATTGTGCTGGCGGCGAGGACTGTTGAGGTTAGCAAGGCGCACTGTGTGTGGGGTGGGAGGGTCCAGGGGGTCACCCTTCCAGCGCTGGCTACAACCTCACTCGCCCAATAACCTGGACACTATTCACTGAGCCACAATAGTGCCTGAGCCACATGTGGTGGAGCAACAAGAGTGGACACAGCCACCATAGGCCTATCATCACTCTAGGTATTACGCTCTTACTAGCTAAACACCCTATAATTACCTGTTTGAATAATCAAAATTACATGAAAATTAAAAAATAGCACGTGCCATAAAGTATTAGGATAATAGTTATCCATAAAGTATTAGGATAATAATTATCCATAAAGTATTAGGGTAATAGTTAACCATAAAGTATTAGGATAATAATTATCCATAAAATATTAGGATAATAGTTAATACTTAAGGTGAGTGTGAGGGAGGGATAACAGCACAGAGTAGCGAGCCACACTGCTGGTCTCCCGCTCGCTAACTCCGCCAGAATTAAACAACTTGCGCAATAATATGCCGATTTGACACGCCAGAAGTCACTCCTAACACTTCTCGCTCAGAATTGATGTATAAAATTAGTCTTACTTCGTGTGACTGGACTCAGAGTCCGGTGGAATATAATGGGTGTACCGACGCTCTCAGCGCGCGCGCGTGCGTGCGCACAGTTACATGTGTGCGTGTTTACTGAACTAACAGAAAGCTAGTTCTACTAAGTTACTAACTTACTGTTGCATGTGTTCACGCACACATTACTGAGCCAGGGAGTGTCGCTACGGAAGTCCCACAGGGCTCACTTGTTGGACCTGTCCTGTTTCTCATATATTTAATAATCTTCCAGAGACTCCTTCCTCTCAATGGTTTCCCGATGATGCAAAAATTAGGAGGAGGATTAAGACGGATAAAAACAGCAAGAGGCGTCGAGATAACCTGGGCAAACTGGAAGAATGGCCTAACAAATGGCTACTAGAGTTTAACTCAAGTGAATGTAACGTATTGAAGATAGGTGGAGGAGCAGGAGACCAAACACAAGGTGGCAAATGGGAGATAAACTACTTTATGAAACTGATAGAGAAGGACCTCAGGGTTATTATCACACTGAACCTGTCTCCTAATCCCACAATAAAAGAATATCATCAGCGGCATATGCGAGATTGGCTAACATGAGAAGTGTCTTTACAAATTTGTGTAAGGAATCATATGTTAGGCACATATATACCAAACATGTCAGACCAAGCCTTGAGTATGCAGTTCCAGCGTGGAGTCTATACCTGAAATTGAAATTGAAATAAGTTTATTGAGGTAAAATACACACAAAGGGATGAGGTAGCTCAAGCTATTCTCACCCCGTTCAGTACAACGTGTTAATATATACATAGACACACATCACAAATAAACATATTACCAAACATTCTGAGAGGTAAACATATACATTTCCTCCTTCACAAGTAGTATGGTATCAGACGTCTATACCTGGTGAAGCACAAAATGAAGTCGGAGAAGGTTGAAACTTATGCCACAAGACTGGTACCAGAACTGCCAGATATGAGTTATCAGGAAAAGCTGCTTGATTCGTTGCTGGAACACAGAAGAGTCATAGGAGACATGATTACCACATACAAAATTCTAACAGGAATTGATAGGTTGATAAAGACAGTCTATTTAACAAGGATGGCCATCGCACAAGGGGACACATGTGGAAACTGAGTACCCAAATGAGCAACAGAAACATTATAAATCATTTTTTCAGTGTCAGAGTAGTTAACAGGTGGAATGCACTAGGCAGTGATGTGGTGGAGGCTGACTCCATACACAGTTTCAAGTGTAGATATGATAGAGCCCAGTAGGCTCAGGAACCTGTACACCAGTTGATTGACAATTGAGAAGCGGGACCAAAGAGCCAAAGCTCAACCCCCGCAAGCACAACTAGATGAAAATGTGAGTCCTACCCACCACCACCATCATGAAGGCCTGTCCGGGCATATTAGTGCATGCTGTGTGGCTTGACCAGTGTACGTAGCCTCCAAGCTCGGTCAGTAGTTGACCCCACTCCTTGACCTGATGGTCATCCTCCCCTTATGCTGCCTTTATCCTCTACCTGTCATACCCTCCCCCCATCTATCATAACCCCCTCCCTCCCTCCCCCCACTCCCGAGGCTCCGTCTTAACCACCAACCCTAAGATATAATGACCAAACCACACACCAGATCAGGAGACAGTCATCAACAGTGACGAATCTGTGTGTAATCAGGAATAACAAAGATCGGTGTAAAATACTTGTCTGGCGGTGTGTAGGTACACCCAGAGGTGTACATACACCCAGAGGTGTACATACACCCAGAGGTGTACATACACCCAGAGGTGTACATACACTTCTCGGCACATGTTGAGGACTAAAGTATACTCGCCTGGTGGTCATCATTGTGGCGGGTGTAATAACCGTGCAGTTAGAGGTGGGTCTTCAGCTCACCAGCCAGCCTGTCCTCTACGTTCCCAGCCTCACTAAACTCACTAATTCCCTTGAAGATATACTCCTCAGGTATATGATATACCTGCCCGAGGTCTCAGGAGGAACAAACGGGACATCACGTCAATGTTTGCGAGCCGCTACACCAGTGTTTGGCCACAGGTAAATTGTACGTCAAAATGCGATGTATTATCAAAAGAACGGGTGAAACCGACCCAACCCAGGTGCCTGACAGCTGAGTGGACAGCGCTTCGGATTCGTAGTCCTCAGGTTCCGGGTTCGATCCCCGGTGGAAGCGGAGACAAATAGGCAAAATGCTTCTTTCACCCTGATGCCCCTCTTCACCTAGCAGTAAATAGGTACCTGGGAGTTAGACAGCTGCTACGTGCTGCTTCCTGAAGGGTGTGTAACAAAAAGAACGCTAAGGGGACGCTAAGCCCCAAAATCATCTCGTCTCAACATAACCCGCTCGTCTGGATCACTATGTGTCCTCTATGACTCTGAGGACCTCCTAGGTATATTAACCTGTCTCACTGTACACACTGGTCAGTAATGTTGTCTATGACCAAGCCGCTGTCACCTCCGAGCACCGTCATCCTGTGTCTGTCTCAGTCTGTCATTCCCTACTGTTCTCAGAGACTCAGAGAGTACTTACTGTGGCCTTCCTGAGGGTGTAGCGAACTGGACCCAAGCTACTTGGTATTCTCGCAGGCTGGAGGTGTAGGCCGGGGTGTCAGTAACAGCAGACTGGTGTAGCAGACTGGTGCAGGCCGGGGTGTCGGTGCACACAGCAGGTGCAGGCCGGGGTGCTGCTCGTGGGGTAGAATGGAGAGGCAGTAATGAACAAGAGGCACTCATTTGTATCTCCTTGCAGCGTCACGGTGTGGACTCTCACCGACCTTGACTGTGGTGAATAAAGATGTGTTAATGTAGTTGCTTATCTCTCTCTCTCTCTCTCTCTCTCTCTCTCTCTCTCTCTCTCTCTCTCTCTCTCTCTCTCTCTCTCTCTCTCTCTCTCTCTCTCTCTCTCTCTCTCTCTCTCTCTCTCTCTTTATCTCTCGCGGGATGTGTGAGAGGATGATGGGAGAGAAGCAGGAGTTCTAAGAGAACAGGAGGAGGGTGCCACCATTCTAGTGGTACTCGGCACCATTCTCTTCCTGGTCTATGTAAATGACCTGATATAGGAAGTATAATAATTTATATCCTCTTGTTGACGCTGCAAAGCAGGTGAGAAGAGGTAGAAATAAACGTTCAAGAGATATACAACAGGGAGACTGGCATGTACTGGAAACACGGCCATAAAGATGGTTGCTAGACTTCAACCTGCACAAGTGTAGTATAATGAGGATAAGAGCAGTGTAAAAAGACCTCAGGGAACATTAAAAAAGAGGGAGACAGGTCCGGGAAACAAACAGTTTGAAAGACATGGAATATAGCTCGACCCTTGACGAGCACGTCCGCCTGAATCCTCCCGGCGGGCTACACAATGGTGGGCGTGGTAACCAAGGCACAATAACCAAGTATAAAGTCACCATACAAGAGGGGGATTATGACAGAGACTTTCTGGGATAAACTTGGGGAGGCGGTGGGGGGATTTAAATGGAAAACAAAACAGGAAATATAAATTTTGGCACCAAGAATTGCCGAGACAAGTTAAAACCCCAGAAATGAGCCAGCGGGTCACAGTGAAGTGTGTCTGTGACAAGGCAAAGAAAGTACAATATGTGTATGAGTGGGGATAAGCATGGCTGTTACACAATGACAAGAACTGAGAGGTCGTGTGCGAGGCCTCGGCCAGTGAGTGAGTGTGACATAGCACATGTAGCCACATACCTACCACAACTGCAGCACGCCCACATCTGAAGGAAGAGGTCGCTGACCAAGCCTATATATACCAACTGGTCATATGTATCCTAAAGGATGCCGCCGAAGAGCTTATCAGACCACTGCCAACGGTTCCTCATGCCTCATTATAAAAGTGTAAGATAACAAAGGAAGTATGAAAACATGTTGCGTCCGTATTGAAAAAAGGGAAGAGGTAGATACGGTGAAGTAGTGTCAGCCAGAGGCAGCCCCAGCACAGTACTGGCAGGATGGTCAGGGACAACTTTGGTAATCTTCTAAGGTCTGAATATCAACATGGTTTCAAATAAGGAAATTATTGCGCATCGAGTCTACGTTTATTGATTTTTATTTAAAAATCAATAATAATAATAATAGCCTATACTGAACTAATTACAACGTATAAATAGAATTCTTGTTTACAAAATTTTCGTTACCGA